GGTACACTGCATACATCATAGAATCATAGAATCATTTAGGGTGGAAAAGACCTTTAAGATCATCGAGTCCAACCACAGATGTAGGGTGCCCTCCGTTTAAAGGATACCTAAATCAATGATTCAGTTAAAATATCCTTTACATTTGCTAAGCAAATCTGACATTGTTGTGCTGTATCCTTTTTGGCAATTCCAATAACATTTATGTTGTATTACATGAATAATATAGTCTGACATGGTGAAACCTGCCAAGAATCTCAGTTTTTCCTCATAGTGGGCCCGCAAAGCTTACAGAGCAGAAAAAAAACCTCAGGAAAAATAGTATTTTTTCTGCCATGCGTCTCATCTCGACTTGATTCTTCTGAATACAAGTTAGAAATAACTTTTATCCATTTTGCTGGAAGCTACCCTTAAGTGCAAAAATCTGGTCCTTACCCTCCACTACCAAACTGCTTACATGTAAAAACTCTACCGGCACCTTCATAGCAAACATTTCCGTACTTGCTCTCCATATGTCTGTATGTATATTGTAGCTGCAGCATAGCAATCCTGTATAGTCGGTGTGACTTCTAATACATCCTCCCACCTTTATTATCTGCTGAATTTGAAAAAGAAAGTCAAGACTGAGTTTGGCAATGTTGGGGACAATCCAGTCATACGGAACACTTCAGAAATTAAGCCCATTGTGTCAAATATTCAACAGCCCACACAATTCAAATAAATTCCAATCAAACTGTGGATTGATTAACTTCACCTCAGATAAGCTTGGAAAGAAGTGGTCTTTATTTGAATGGCAAAGTATGGAAAGCGGGGAGAAGTGTCCTTTTCTCGCCTGTTTATAAAAGGTAAGAAAATATTATTTATTACGTGCTGCGTGTCTCTCCTAGGACATGCAGTTCAGGTTTCCTCTGGGACTCTCATCCTTTCTTACGTAGTCCATTGGCGAGGTCAGGGACAACAAACCATTCCATAGCATGTGCACGGGCTTAGGTAATCCTGGAAAAGATGATTATTTGCATGATAAGAGTAGGGTATGATACTAAATGACGGAAGCCAGGATGTGTGGCGCTAATATATTTACTTTTTATCTCATCATAGCTTCTTTCTGCTGTTTATCCTGGAACTTGAAGGCAGACTTACCTGTACGTGCTTTATCTCACCCTTACTGGTTGTCTGCTTGTGCTCCTTTCATTTACAAATTGCTTGCGCTCCAGCTCTTTGTTTAGGCGCAACCTATTTCCAGGGTATGTCAGGAAACCCCATGCATTCAGGGAAAGCTTCTCCTGTCTTGTAGCATACAAACACCTTAATTAGGATGTGTATATAACACAAGTATAAATAGTGTACTGCAGAGAGAAGCTAAATTTAAGGTGAAATACAGTGTCTATATTCCACCACTGAAAGGAATCTGCAAATACTGTAAGAAATACTGTTTAGAGTGATACTACCCTATTGATTTAATAATTCTATAGATGCAATACGCATGATAGGTGGGGCTTTACAATCAGCAAGCACACTCTTAGGTTTCAGCCGGATTGAAACCACAGTTCAATGTCTCAGAAATTAAAATTTTTCACATTTGATAATTTTTAATAATAATTTTGCATTTAATAAAAAGCACATAAGGGAGGTTTTCAAACTGAGTTTGCTGTTAGCACTCAAAACATGCCTCCATTTCCTGCTCCGCCACTCTGTGACCTTTCTTCTTCTTTTTCACTCTCAAATCAACTTCCCAGTATATTGACTACCCGTCCCAATTTGGTGTCATCTGGGAACTTGCTGAGGATGCACTCCACCTTGTCACTGAGGGCATCAGTGAAGACGTTGTACAGTGCTGGCCCCAGTATCAACCCCTGAGGAATGCCCCTTCTAACTACCCACCAAAACCTCACGTAAGTCTTCACGAAGACTTGCCCCAAAGGTTTCCCAGGGACTGAGGTGAGGTGGACTAGTCTTTTGTTGCCTGGACTTCTGATTGTCTTTTTTAAAGGCGGACGTAACATTTTCTTTTTAGTTGTTGTTTACTTTTGTATTTCAAAGTCACGTAAAACTTTGCTGTATTTGCTACCAGGTGAATTCATTTTGTGAAACTAAAATCCATGCCAAACACAACCAGAGAGAGTTTCACAATGTTGTAACCTGCTGCCAAACGCCACGCTCCCACGGGGCGCACCACTTCTCCTCCCACTCAGAAGCTAAGATCCTTCCCTTTTACAGGTGGGACACCTGCAGTTTACCAAGCACGTCTGAATCATAACATTTGTAATACCTTAAAAGCCTTCCAAGACCCTTCTAAAATGCACACATAAAATGATATAATTCTGTATGCATTACCAATAAGCCCGATGCATATGGGCTGTACCAGTCAGTCTTTCCTATCTCTCACACCATCAATTCCAGCTCCAGTTCACAGAACCTCTTTGCTAATTTCTCTGGCATTGTCAGTCTTTCACCAGGTCTGTGAAGAGAAGATAATTGCTGCTTCAATCGCCGTCTTTGGTCTGAGAAGAGGGTTTGAAATATTATGTGGCCTGGAAGGAAAATAAGATACAGAAAAAGAAGAGGGATGGAAGGAGATTTTAAACGGAATAAAATGCTGTTCCTCGCTTTCTCCCCGTCCAGCACACGAATCTGTGATCTCTAGGCTTTACACTCAGAGACTGCATTTTAACCACATGTAAGTACCTAACTTTTTCAAAACACCTTGCGATACAATGCTTTTCGTGAGAATGCTGCTATGCTACATTGTCCTGTGGTGAACTACCATGAAGTACTGGGGACAAATGTGGGCCTATCTGCTGAAAGAGGTCCTTCGGGAAACCAGTTACAAACAAACCCCACCAAATTACAAAAGGCAGTGCCTTCCTCCTCCGGCACACCTGCTCCTGGCAGCGGCGTGCTGTGGGGAGGCGGGGTGGGTGCCCCTACTGTCGGTCCCCAGCCCCCCCCAGCCCAAGTCGGGCTGCCCCTGCCCCTTCTGACGGGCCCCGATGGGCAGGGCCACGCCGAACCGCCCCGCACC